TCTGGCCCCACTGCTGGACCTCTTGATGGTACCTGGTATTTTTGGCCACTGTGTGACAGAGTGTTGGACTGGATGGGCCATTGGCCTGATCCAACATTGGCTTCTGTTATGTTCTTATGTCTCAGTCAGAAATACCTAGGTCAGGTGAAGAAGCCTCTGTGCATGTAGGAAAAATACATACACATATGTAATTCTCAACATGGTCCCATCTGTAGATACTTAAATCTGAAGACTTGGGGCTGTGGACAGACAAGACAGATCTCCCTACAAGCCTGAGAAATGCCCTGGGTTTGCAGAAAAATTAAAACAACAAAAACACTGGGAAGTTAACCTCGCTCCCCCAATAGTAGAAGCAACACCTGTAGCTTTAAGAAAGAAATGCCCTCTGAGACCTCGGTGGCCGTTGCTAAGCAACTGCAACTGTATCTAGCTTTTGTTTCTGTCAGTAAAAGGTGGGGGCAGACACTTCCAGGGTTGTTTTAGCCTTTGAGGGAGGACTCGTTGAGGCCAGGCCTGGCAGCAGCCACTAGACGCCACTACTATGTGACTTCCATCATTTACCCAGGCCCAGCTGTTTGCTTCCATTTAACCGCAGCTCGAGTCTTCCAACAACCTAAAAGGCGACTCTACTCATGGACATCACCAGATGGGCAACACCAAAATCAGATTGATTACATCCTTTGCAGTCAAAGATGGAGAAGCTCTATACAGTCAGTAAAAACAAGACCTGAAGCTGACTGTGGCTCAGATCATGAGCGACTCATTGCAGAATTCAGGCTTAAACTGAAGAAAGTTGAGAAAACCACAAGGCCATTCAGGTTTGACCTAGATGACATCCCTGATGAATATACAGTGGAGGTGAAGAATAGGTTTAAGGGACTAGATTTGATAGACTGCCTATGGATTGAGGATGAGATGATTAGACAGTGTTATCGATGCAACGAACATGAAATTAAACTCCGGAGAACGATGGAAGACAAGAGGGCCTGGTGTGGTCCATGGGGTCGCGAAGAGTCGGACTCGACTGTGCGACTGAACAACAACAACACATGAAAGCTGCTGTGGTGTATTGGGCAGAGTTTTACGCTAGGATGTGCAGATTCAAATCCCCACTCTGATGTAAAAGCCCACTGGGTGACCTTGGCCCAGTCATACACTCTTAACCTAACTCACAGGCTTGTTGTGGGGGAAAGTGGAGGAGAGGAGAATGATGTCAACTGCTTTGTGTCCCCATTGTGGAGAAAAGTGGCGTGTAGATGAAATAAATAGCTGAAGACAGACCCCCGTTTGCGATATGGGGATAAAAATACTGTCCTGCTTTACCGGGCTTATTATAAAGATTATGCTTTGGGTGTATTTTGGATTGCCAACCTCCAGGTGGTGGCTGGAGATCTCCCTCTATTGCAACTGTTCTCCAGAGTTCACCTGGAGAAAATGCCTGCTTTAGAGGTTGGACTCTATGATATTGCCCATTGAAGTCTCCCCCCTCCCCAAACCCCATTGTCCTCAGACTCCACCCTTCCCCCCCCAAATCTCCAGGTATTTCCCAACCTGGAGATGGCACCCCTAAGCATGTGACAGAAAGGAGGCATATAACTATTTTAAATAAAGAAATTACTAAAATAATGACATGGTTTGAGCTCAAGAGGATATTCTGGATTGGAGATTAGAATTTTAGTAAAATGGAACCATCCAGAAGGGCACGATTATACCTAAATAAAATGTAATCCATCGCAGTGTTTCTGTTGGCATACTCTGTTCTTACTGCATTGTCTTATACCTTATATATTGTTTTATATCCAGTTTTATGTGTTATTTATAGGGCACCTTGCCTTAGTTTACTGTTTGCATTGTTTGCAAATTGTGTAATCCAGTCGTATTGCCTTGTTCATTGATTGTTTTGTTGTCTGTCTATACTGGTGTTTTTTTTTTTGGGGGGGGGAGGTATTTTTCCTGTAATCTGCCTTGAGTCTCAGTGACAAAGGCGGACTGTAAACAAAGCAAATAGATTTCACAAATTATAATGCCAAACCATGATTTGTCTCTATAAGAACGGGTGTGAGAGGGTCCTGAGCCCGTTCATTCCCTTCTCTCTTTGTGCATCACAAATGACTTGCTTCCTAGTTTGCATCACACCATAGTTTGCCATTACCTCTGAGCTGACTGGTTATGGTTCATGTTTGGCTACAAGCCAGGATTACAAACTGTAAGTTGTTTTTTTCTTGCTAGCCATACAGGTTTTCAGTGCTGGTTTTGGTGTAATAGCAAAGTGTGCTTAGTTGGAAATGAATAACATTAGTTGTAGATTTTTCAGGCTGTATGGCTGTGGTCTTGGCAATGTAGGTCCTGGCGTTTCGCCAGCAGCTGTGACTGGCATCCTCAGAGGTATAACACAAAAAGATGGCGTACTCTCTGCCAAGACCACGGCCATACAGCCTGGAAAATCTACTACAACTAATGAACTCCGGCCATGAAAGCCTTCGACAATGTATTGAGTAAGTAACAGATTAGCTCCCAGTATGCCAAGAGAGAATGGGAGTCAGAGGCTGCTTTATAGTTCATTAATGTGGCACCAAACCACAGTTTAGCATTATGTCTAAGCCAGGCCTTGACCAATTTTCTTTGGCTTTAGGAGCCATTCCAAAAATGTAAAAGCCAGGCTCATTTTTTCAACCATCAGTGTTTTTGTGTTTTAATGACCATATTTTTAAACTATTGCTACCATAAAACCTCTTCACAGTTTCTTGTAATTTTATTAAAGCTACAACAAAGCTGTTGTAGTGTATAAATAATTATAGGACTAACACTGGTTGCCATCATTACAGCAAAATAACCTCTAATACTAACTTCTTCCTCAGTTTCTCATAATCGGATTATTAGTTTGAAAAGCTTGATTTAATTGAACCTTGAAGCCAGAAAGCCACTGGTTAAGAAATACTTTCATCCATTACCACTGAAAGGTTTAAAGTTAAATTTGCCTAGAAACCAGCAATTCATGCACATTTATTTTTATATCATACAATAAAAACATTGCCATGCAAAATGATAAATAATCTTAGCAGTTACACTGAGAAATCCCGGGACACACTCTAATAAAATTATTGCTGAAAGTACCATGATGACTTGGCCCCCCTGGAAAAATTTATTCAGATCTAAGATTTTCCATGATGAGATATGAACTGTGCTTTTTAGAAAATGAATAATAGTTTCAAGCAATAAAGCACTGAGCGATCATGGATCTTGAACACCACTGCCACGCCTTAAACTGATATCTAGCTCTTGACTTTCCTCTATTAAGGTTTGCTACCTCACTTCAGTAGTTACATTGTCTCACCGGCCCCCCCCCGCTGAAGACACCACTTCCACGCGGCCCGGATTAAAACAACCGAGAGTCCAGCGGCATCAGTATTAGCGACTGTGCAATAACTGCTGCAATTTGTTTTGAATTCCTTGTTTTAATTAACTAGTTACTATTGTGTTTTTTCTGATGCCAAATGGCCAATTATTTGTTGTGATCTGCCCTGAGCCCATTTGTAGGGAAGGAGGAACATAAATTTGAAAAACAAATAAATATTACATTGCAGTTAGTTTGTACATCTTTCCTGGAAACAAGTGTCCCAATGGCACCATTTGCCTATCCCCCTTTCCACACACGTGAATGTTATTGGCCATTAGAGCGGCCAATGGCCAGCAGATGTTGGTGATTCTGTTGTGTTTCCCAAAGAGTTAGTGGATTCCTTCTCTTCTATACACATGAGTATGGATGGACAAACTGTCCTTGCCCTAAGGTATTGTTAATCCCCGGGGTCATTTCATAGAAAAAGAGCTAGGGGAACTCATTAGCATAACTCATTAGCATATGCCACACCCCCTAACATCAGGGGCCCGGCGGTGGACCTGCAAGGCCAGCGGGAGTGCGAGGAAGCCCTGCCAAGGCCCTCCCTGGCCCCTGGCAGGCAGGGGTGGGGGGAGGCGGGGAGGAAGCAACTTACCCTCCCTCTTCTCCTGCCTCCTCCTGACTGAATGAGGGCTGGAAGCGGGGCGGCCAGAAGCAGGGGGCGGGGCTTCGTCATGTGCCCCGCCCCCCTGCACCTCACCCGGGGGAACTGCGTTCCCCCGCGATCCCCTCTGGTTAATCCTGGTTAATAGTTTTAAACATGTTGTCTGATTTGCACAGCTTTTTGTGATTTCCCCCCCGAATCCCCAGCACTATTTATTAAAAATCACAAGTCTGTCCTGGGTTTCAGCTGTTCGTTTTCAAAGAAGTGGTTAGTAGGTTCAGTTCTTGGCTTCTCATTTGAGTGTTATGGCCCTTTTTCACCTGTGAGGGTTAAGTAACATGCCAATTTTCTCAACCTTTATCATGCATCTCATTAGTTTAGGCCAGGGGTCTCCAGCGTGATCCCTGTGGGTACTATGGTGCCTGTTGACGCCTTTCCTGGTGCCCGCCAAGTATTTTTAGAAAGTGGGCTGGACCAAGTAAGGCTTTTGTCCAGCAGGGCTTCTCATTGGCCACTGGAGTTCTGATTGACTGTGGAGATCTTTAACAAGTTGCTTTGGTAGCAGCTGCCGCCATAGCACAAGGAAGTGTGTTATGTGACTGCAGGTAAACTGTGTACACAAGAAAATATTTTTAGACAATATGTTCATTTTAAAAGGCATCCTGTTAAACAGAGCTTCTGCCTGAAATGTTGAAGAGTTACTATTAGAGTTATGTATGACCTTGCTTCCTGACATTTTGTGATTGGCTCCACCTCCTGTGACATCCGGCTTGTCATTTTGCCCAACACCCTATGCCACTATTCCAGAGGTCCCTATAGGATCAGAAAGGTTGGGGATGCCCGGTCTAGGCATTAAGAAATCTCAAAGCTGGTGCAAGTTGGCAGCCTTGATTTTTATGTGGATCAGTTTTCAAAGGCTCAAGTGAGGCATACTTAGTGCTGTGTGTGTGTGTGTGTTATTTTCCCTTTTGCTGATGTCCTACTTTCCTTCCCTTCAAGTTGGGTTCGAAGACTATGGACCAGATTGTGATAGCATGAGGATAACAGCGTTCTTGGACATTCCAGGGCAGGATAACTTGGCTCCACTTGCGCGTCTGGAAAAATATGCTTTTAGCGATAATATATTCAACAGGTAACAAATATAACTGCAAATAATTATGCTGATGTTATTTATGCTGTGAATGTTTCTCACCTTTTCATAGATAGAAGTTCCGTGTGGGAAAATTTTTTTATCACAGATTTTAATCACAGTTTTTATTTTGTGTTTAATAATGCTGAGAAGGTTTTTTTTTTTAATTTTTAAAGTCATATACTTGATAGTTCTGTTCTAGAGGGGGCTAGAGACTCCATGTTTGGGAAAGGGTGGAGAAGCTACTATTTTTTGCTATCATGTCTTTCTCTGGTTTCTCCCCCCCCCATATGGACACTTGGCTTTCTCCTTGATTATCTTCTATTAGCTTGCTGTTGTAATTCGGAAGGGGGCAGAGCGATGCTGGTGACTACCGTTTTGTGTACTGGGGCCAGGAGGCCTCCCAGAATTACAACTGGTTTCTAGATGACAGGGGTCAGGTCCCCTGGAGAAAATGGCTGCTTTGGAGGGGGGTGTCTAGGGCATTAGACCCTCCTGAAGTCCCTCCCCTTGTAAAACCCCGTACTCCCCAGGCTCCACCCCCAAATTGCCAGGAATTTCCCAACCTGGAGTTGGCAACCCTATCTGGGGTGAAGTTGGGGGTGGGGTTCATTGAGAGCTTTGATATGTCAGCAGAGCCCCTGGGAGACTTTCCACATAGCCAAATGGATCATGCAGCAGGATTTATTGTTCTAGTGTTTCTGATACATATGAAGATCATGGGGGTGGATCTAGGTAACCCATATGCTACACAGTGCTAGACATTTGGATGGCTTTTTGGAAGCTGAACCTTGCCCTTAGCACTTCTGGTTAGAGCAGCAGTTTTCAGGTAGCATCTTCTTTGTTGTCTCAATGCAAGTCTGGACTGAGCTTAGCAGACCAGTCCTTTGCTTACAGCATGATGATAGGTGTAGCAGCTAATATGAAAGGTGCAGAACATAGAGGGAAGAAGGATGTCCCCATCACCACCACCACCACCACATGGATACTCAAACTACTGCTGCCTTTGACTCCACTGCTGGAGATGTTAAGGGCAAAGGAGTTTCTTTCTAGCATCACAGTGGCAGCCATATTGCCACCCTCAGTGAGCTGATGGATGAGAACCAAATGACTCCACATTGAACTGGCTCCCAGACATGCAGTGCTGATGTAGGGATGACAGAGCTGATGTGAGAGTGGAGTAATCCTCCCCTCTTTGGTCTAGTGCTGTTAGCTTCGTAGCTAATAGTGGATCAGTTCAAAGTATGGTTTGGAGGACAGGAAATATTATGTGGGTTCACGTGCTTCCCGCTTCCCTCTTGCTTACACACTATCTGTTCCATTTCTGGGTTGCTCTAACCTGAATTTGCCAAATCAGGCCAACAGTAGTTAGAGACAACTTCCAAGCCATATTGTATATTACCAAGCCATATTGTATATTACCTATCATGGCGAACCACGGTTAAGAACATTCTAGAAATCAAGGGTATAATTGGCGCATGTGAGTCCCTTGCACATTCATCTTCTCACAGAATGACTATCTGCACTGCTCCTCTGTACAGCATGCTCATATGCATAATTCCACATCTTCTCAAATGCTTCTGGAGCATAACCAGAGGTAGAGTTGTAGATACATTATGTTTTCATCTTGACATGTCTTTAAGACATCATTATAACGTCTCCTGAGTATGTCAGCATATAAAAAAAGTGTCTTTATATCTTTCTGAAAAGGGAAAAGTGAGGAGCAAAGTTTATGTAACGGGACTTTTGCTATCTTAATTCCCCAAGCTACAAGTATGGGGGACAAATAGAAACGTAACAGTCTTGATTATGCAGACATCTCAGGTTCCCCACCCCTTCAACTAAATCAGATTGTACTGTGTTTTACCTTGCTCACAGTGTCTGAATTAACTTTAAAAAATGAAATCCAGAAAGAGTATGTTAAGTTATCCTTTTTTTGGTTACAGGCAAATCATTGCCAGAGGTCTACTTGATGTTTTTCGAGATTTCAGTCATAATGATGAAGATTACTTGACGGTAATGGCAATAGTGGTCAGGCTGTCAGAAGATACAGGTGAGATTTTCAGTTTTAACAAGTGTTAATTTGTATTATCGCAGGTAGGTGAGGAATTTGCCTTTTTGTCCCAAAAGACTTTCTGGGGCGATAAAGATAATACAGTTTCACTTCTTCAAGAGATGAATAAGAACTCTTTTGTAAAGATTTGAAATGGGTATTTCAATATAAAATTAGTTGCAGGGTCAGAAGTGCTACATCCGTTAATGTTAGACTTCTTAAATCCGATAGAGCAGAGACTTCCAGTTTCTCTTTCCCCCCTCCGGTCTGAATGGTCAGAACTCACTGCCTTGCCCTGCGCAGCCCAGCCATTCAGCCAGTTATCAGTTTGGCTTCCCTCCTGTTCATCTTTCTGTCACATCGGCCTAACTATCCACAAACACTGGATTTTCTCAAAGAAGTTCTTGGGAGGAGTTGGTGGAGCAGGTCTGCATTGCCCATCTGTGTGTGCCCAGAAAATCATTTTGATTTGGACATTTGCACGGTCTGCTTGCCAAGTACATTTAGCTCCCCTATGTGAAAATAAGTTTCAATTAGACTTTTGTTGCAGAAAATGATATTTTGCTGTGCTTAAGTAATGATATCCTAAAAGATATGGAACATTTTCATAAACGTTGTTTACTTACCTGATTCTTCTATGGTTTTGCAACATAAGATATTCTTTATCAAAACCCTGTATTTTCTGTCGTTAACTTTGATTAAAGCTGTTTCACTTAAAAAAAAAAAATCCCCAGAACCTACTGTACGGACAGAACTCATGGAACAGATACCACCTATTGCCATTTTTCTACAAGAGAGCAGACCAAACTTTCCTACAGCCTTTTCAGAATATCTTATGCCTATCGTGGTGAGATACCTCACAGATCCAAACAACCAGGTAGGGATTTCTGTACTGGCCATACAGTTCTGTTATGATTAAGATCTGTTCTTTGAGACTGTGGAAAACAGTTTAATGTCGTATATATTGTTAGCCAGACTTATTTTGCGTTCACATAGTTTTGTGTTGAAATTTATTTATTGCTGAGACTGAGTTCCAGTCCATTGTTGGAGTTATCAGTGGGAGGGCAGACAGCTAAAAGGTTCAGTTCATTTTGTCTGGATCTAGCTCGGGCCTAAAGGCCACCTTTCCCTCCTGCTTCCAGCCGCCACAGATGTGGCAATAAGAGGGAGGAGTAGGGTTACCAAGTGCTTACCTGTTCCGGAACGGGGGAGTCCAGCCTTGCTCCGGGAGTCTTTGTGCGTGCGTGCGCGCCACAAGCACGTCGGGGACATTGGGGGCGGGGCCACAATCATCCGAGGGAAAACCATAGAGCCCCGCCCCCAACGTCCCCGACGTGCTTGCGTAACTTCCATGTGACGTGCTTTGGGGATGGGGTTCCCCCCGGGGGCCCGATCTGGCTGCGGCGGGGAACGGGCCTCCCGGGTGGGAATTTCCCCGCCCCCCGGGGGGACGTGGCATCCCTAGGGAGGAGAGGAAGCAGCTAAGCACTCCCCTGTTGTGCATGAGTTCAGGTCAGCTGAGGATCTTCTCCCCAAGAAGAAGCGCTGGGTTTATACCCTGCTGTCCACTATCTGAAGGAGTCTCGGAGTGTCTTACAATTCCCTTCCTCCCCCCACAACAGACACGTTGTGAGGTAAGTGGGGCTGAGTTCTGGGTGAGCTGTGACTGACCCAAGGTCACCCAGTGGCTTTCATGTGGAGGAGGAGTGGGGAATCAAACCCGGTTCTCCATATTAGAGTCTGCTGCTCTTAACCACTACACCACACTGGCAAGGGAAGCTTCTTCTCTTTTGTACTTACATTAGATTCTGCTCAACCCACCCAAACGAATAGTAACGTCGCTGTTTATATTATCATCTTTAAAATTGCATACCCTATCAAGAGAACTTAGCGGAGGGGTCTCACTTTTGCATCCAGTTTATTACATAATTTGATTGATTTGATTTATTAAATTTCTGCCCCGCCCTCCCGGGGTATTTGTTATAAGAATATGAGGTGGAAGTGGGTTGGGAGACTATCTTGAAATAGGCAGAGGGCCCATTTGTAATGTTGCCTTTCCAGCTAGTGCACAATCTAAGTTAGTAGCTCCAGTGTATGGATGGAACTCCTCCGCACAAGAGGCATGTTAGGTAATGCATTGCCTTTCAGTTAAGCCCTGGAAAGCCATTATTCCGCACAGGTTTGTTTAATACCCTACACATACTCACGTTAGTCATTTGCAGCATATAACTTGCCAGAAAAGGGTGGGGGAGGAACTATCAGATTAGTTGATTTCTAAATACAGATTTTTCTCCCTGATAACCTCAGGGTGATCAGGTGGAGAACCGATCACAAGCTTTGCACCCTGAGATACCCTTGCCATTGAAATTCATGAGGATATTGTTGCTTGCACATAGTTTTGTGAGTGCACCGTGGTCCAAAGCTTTGGACTGGACTGGTACCTTAATTGTTCTCTAGGCTAACTCAGGCACAAGCAGGTATTCAGGACGGACCCAGACCAGTACTGGCCAGATCAAAACTGTATGAGGAATTCCAACACTTCTTTACTGGAGTGTGACAGTTTTCAAGTCTGCGACTGAATGTGGTGGTAACTGCCTCCCCCCCCTCCCATCTTATGTATGTTCTTGAAATGTTGCAGAGTGATTGATTACTGAAATATCTATCATCTTCAGTTCAGTAGGAAGACAGGAATTCGTTTGGGTTTTCATTGGTACCACTCTTGTACTTGTTTGAACTGGGACAAACCTGCGTAAGCTGTCATCTTCTTCTTTGGTTGTCAATAGGTTAGAAAAGCCAGCCAGGAATCTCTGGTGATACTGCTGGAACAAGGGCTCATTTCTCAAAATGATATTGAAAATAAAGTATGCCCGATCCTGTTGGACCTGTCAGCTCCAGAGAGTGATGATGAATACAAGGTGGAAGCTGTCAATGTAAGTAGCAGTTGTTTTTGGTTTGATTTTTTTAAGAATAGGTTGCTTTTTAATATCAAGTATCTTTTACAAAATTAAATATTGTAAAGTTTCACTAGTTTAATTACACCTTTGGTACTACTGGCTTGTTGCCCAGTAGTCACCATTTTCTTAAAAAACGAAAAGTTGACGTGCAGAGACGAAGGGAGGAATCAGAGCGACTCTAATGGGTATCTTTTATGGGCTCTCTCGGGTCCAGGTGTGCTTGTTCAGTGCCTTCAGCCGGCATAAACGACATTGGTGAGGCTGTGCTGACTTCCTTCTCATTTGCGCTGCAGATGAGAGAAATTAAAGGCTGAATATAGCCAGTGCAATCCATACAAAGGAAAAAGCAACTTCCTGTGAGAACCCCAAAGCTAAATTGCACTTTCCGGTCACAAACTATTTATTCTGCTGTTTCTGGTTTAGCACTCAGGCATCCAGCCGGCCATGTGAGAAAGCTCCAATATTGATGAGTTTTAAGGAGTGCAAATTTATTTTGAATGCAATGTGTACCCACCCCTGCCCAGGTTTCCCAGGCCTTAACTAATCTACTCAAGCGATACTGCAGAATCCCCAGCAGCCTGCTTTTCACAGCTGTTTTTTGGTCCAGTCTGCAGAGCCATCACCTAGATAGTCTTTCTTCATCCCCCAGCACATTCCTCAGTTAATATGTCATGATTTGCTCAAGGCTCCTAAGTATAAACTAGTGGAGATGTATATGTGGCGTGTGTTTCTGGAACACTCCCTGTTTCCGGCTTTTGGTTCTTGAATTCTTGTCCTCTCTCTCTCTGCTTTGTAATCCAAAGGCAATGAGGTAGTTTTACAGTGCAATCTTAAGAAGAGTTATACTCTTCTAATCCGCTGAAGTCGGTGGATTTAGAATGGTGTAATGCTGTTCAGGATTGCCTGACAGATGCCGTGAGGCAGACATATAATCACCCTATACGTTCCCGATGGGTTAGCTTATGTCATAAAAAAAGCTCGAGCTGGTATGTTACGTCACTAGCAAGGCAGCCGTTCCAGAGGTTTCTGTGAGGTAGGCTTACCAAGCCTCCACTTGGGGCGGGGTGTGTGTGTCTCCCACTACTAGCAGGGACTTCCTGGTAGCTGCTCAGCTGGTTGGTGGGAGGGGAATCATGGGTAACTGGGGGGAGGCTGTTGGGAATGTCGCAAAGCAGTGAGGTCACTCCTTGCGTGCCCAGAAGTGACAGCGCATTGTTAAAGGATGCCAGACAGGCTCTGGCATTTGGGCAAAACTCTATGGTTGGTCAGTAAGAGTTTATTAGAGTTTTGTCCAAATGCCACTTCTGGGTGCACAGGAAGTGATGTCAGTGTGTCGCCAGACATTATTATGTTGCCGGTGAGCACCCCCTCCCCCCAGTTAGGTAAGTCTTCTGCCATTAAAGGCATTGTTCTGTATTAATTTAAATTATTACAGCTCATAAGGCCTTTTCGAGGCTCGTTCATTAATAGAGAAAGTAATTCAGAGAATTTGTTTCCAGACAGCTCCCCTAAAGGATTTGCCAACAAAATATGTGTCTCAGGATACATTGATCTCTCTTCCTCGGTCAGCTGTTTCTGCTACATTACGTCTAACACAAGCTGTTCATCTGCCAGGCTGTCCATGCAAAGCTCCTTTGACTTACAAATGGGTCATGACCCGCTGCTGTGAATTGCTGCCATTGAGGCTGCAGTAGCTTGAAGTTGACCTTCCTAAATCCTATTTTCCAAATCCTGCTTTCTTACCCTTTGAAAAAAGACAGATCTTGGAATGTTGTTGACCGCACAAAGTTGGTTTGAAAGCTGATCAAAATGTGTTACCTAATTATAAAGTCTCTGAAGATCTGTGATCAACCCTCCGTGCATTGTAATGTAAATACTTCCCCCTCCAGCCATTTAATTTGTGGGAGAAAAATACAGGTGTGATAGAAAGGCCTGCATTTCTTCCCAGCTACCTGGGGAGGTTTTATTTAAGAAAATGGTGTGGGAAGAAACAGTTAATCATCTCCTGCACTCATCCCTTTCCCATGATCAAATTAGCAGCCCCCTGTGGCTACATTTATTTAAAATATTTAAAATATATCATTAGATAATTATCTCTTGGCTTAACAACTACTTTAGTTCTTTTTAAAACTCTGATTCGAGAACAGTATATATGGGGAGCCCGTTTGGTGTAGTGGTTAGGAGTGCAGATTGTAATTTGGGAGAACCGGGTTTGATTCCCCACTCCTCCACATGCAGCTGCTGGCATGACCTTGGGTCAATTTCATTTCAGAGCTGTTCTCTCAAGAGCAGTTCTCGAAAGAGCTCTCTCAGCCCCACCTACCTCACAGGGTGTCTGTTGTGGGGAGGGGAAGGGAAAGGAGATTGTAAGGTGCTCTGAGACTCCTTTGGGTAGTGAAGGGTGGGGTATAAATCCAATCTCTTCTCTCTTTTTCTTCATATATATATATACACACACAAGCACACATATACCTATATATACACATACACACACACACACCTTTTACGTAAGCTGCCCTGAGCCTGCTTTGTCAGGGAGGGTGGGGTATAAATTGGAAAAATAAATTTTAAAAAGTTGTGTGTGTGTGTGTGTGGAAATACAGAATAGATCGCCTTTACAGAAAATAACCATAAATTTCCCTAGAGTTTTGTTCTTTGGTTGTCTTTGGACTACAGAAATGTAACAAAAAATAAATGTTAGGCTGTTTCTTGCTGATTCCAAAGTAGGTGGTATATACTTCCAAACAGGGCTAGTTTTGGGCAGGAACACACAGGAAGAGAGTTCCGGCTGGCTTCAGGGTTGGCCACGCCCACTATAACCAAAACCTCTGTGTGTGTGGCTATAGAGGGAAGGCCTGGTGAGCGACCCCGCCGGCGACTCCAAGGCAGGCGGTCACGGGGCCCCAGTCTGGCCAACAGGCAGCCCCTGCCCAACTCCACCCACTCACCGGGAGAAGGACGCCTCCCCTTCAAAAGGCAGAGCCAAGGGAAGACTTGGGGGTGTGGCCTAATATGCTAATGAGTTTCTGCTGTTGGGTGTGGCCTATTATGCTAATGAGTTCCTGCTGGGCTTTTTCTACAAAAAAAGCCCTGCTTCCAAATAAGAGAAAAACCTTTGTTAACTTTATATATTGTCATTATTCTATTCAAGCTCAGTTACATACACTATAGACTAGTTAGGTGCGAGTCCAGTAGCATCTTAGAGACCATCAAGATTTTCAGGGTATGAGCTTTTGAGAGTCAACGCTCCCTTCGCCAAATATGAATAGGAATGGACCCGTATGGACCGGTGACATAACTGTATGGTGGAAAGGTCAAAATATGGAAAGAATATTTTCCAGCTGCTAGAGGACTTAAACTCCGGAAGGAAAATAAAATATAGGTCTGATCCCTCCGAATAGACACACACAATCTGCTTTGGTTTGAAAACACTTTATGTCCCACCATTAAAATATTTGAAAACTTGTCCTATTAGTGCTCCCCTATTTCCCCCCACCACTATGTCTAGTAGTCTACAGAAAATAGTCCCATTTCTTTTTGTGAACTTTTAATAGTAAAAATATGAATTATGAAACGGCTTAATTCCCTAATATTTTGATTGCGCCAGTTCATTTACAAAAAATCAGTTGTCTTTCCACAGAACAGGATGGGTGTATAATTCCATTTCAACATGGGTGCCTGATACTTCACCCATAAAATGACTTTACCGGCCAGACTACAGTCTCCTGCTTGGGAGTTGCTTAGGCCAGCTTCCAATGTGACATCTGAACACCAGATGTCTTTTGCAGGGACTGACAATTCCATTATAAAAAAAGGGATTGTATAATATTCTCCAGAGCTTGTTTGAGTCGTAAGATGTTGTTTTTAATAGCTCTGTGCTTTATATATCTTCTGTATAAATATCACAATTTATCCTTACCATATTTGAGTGACTACCTTGTGGTATTGGCAACTTAATAGTATTGTGATAGAGTTGGGATATTTGTCTGGTTCTTTTTCCTTCTGCGGTCTTGGGGCATAGGAGACTTTTTAAAAAATTGAAAACAGGCTGATCCTCAAGACGTGAGCAAAAAAAGTTCACTGTGCTTGATTTTAAAATGTTAAGAACTCAAACGTGGGTAGAAGTCCTCCTTTGTCACTTTTTGAGAGATGAGAGGGCTGTCGTCTCTGATATGTTCCAGCAGACCAACTGCGGTGTTCAGGCTACCACCTGTTGACCAGTCCCCCACTTAGGGTGGACCACTTAGCATCGACTCGAGCCTGTCCATTTTCCATTGTGGCTTCCACAGTCCAGAATGCCCCCCCCCCGAAGAAGTGGGGGAAGCTACCTTGTTAGAGACCTTGTCTGTTTGCCAGGGTTTTTGATGGGCCTTGAACAGCAGGCATCTTCTATGGGGGGAGGGAGGTATCTGGAGGGTTTATTTTATTTGGTTTTAATCTGTAATGTTTAATTATTACCTGTAAACCTCCTTGAGCCAAGAGGAAAGGTAAGGTGCTAGGAATATATGCACAGAATTAACACTTTTTCAAGAAAACTATAAAGGATCTATAAAAAGCAAAGGGTTATTATCTAAATACCACAAAATCTTACTGAAATTAGAAGGTGACATAGGAGTTATATAACATCATTATCTCTGGACAGTGCCAATTACTATAGCAACGCCAGCAGGGCCACCGACAAACAAGAGGAAGGTTTCTGCGTACTCAGGGGAGTGCTCAGATGTTTGTGTGTGTGTGCGCGCATGTGTATACACACACACACATATACACATCTTTTACCTCTCATGTCAAATGGTCGAACCCCACCACCACCCAAGGAAACACCAAGCTGAACTGTTGGTGTCATGAAATCTTAATGGAGAGTATATGGACCTGCCCTTATTCTGACCATCCAACTTTTTTGCTGGACGGAGCCTTCACTGGTATGAGGAAACATTTCAAATTGAGTTCTAATGGGGTATTAGTTATTTATTTGTGTGTGTAAAGTGCTGTCAAGTCACAACCGACTTATGGCGACCCCAGCAAGGGCCTTTCAGGGCAAGTGAGAGGCACAGGTGCTTTGCCATCGCCTTCCTCTGCAGAACCTTCCTTGGCGGTCTCCCTTCCAAGAACTGAGATTCGAGGGGATCGGGCCACCTTCCCTCCCAGATATTTGTTCAGGATACTTTTTTTAACCTGCCTTTCTCCACTAACTTGTGGACTCAGAGTAGCTTATGATATTATTCTTCACACAGAGATGCAACAGAAATCTTAAACAACAACAACAACACAACCCCAGACCCACATTCCAACCCAAATTAGTAACAAAATTGTAACATTGACAGGGAGGGCAGAGCATGTGGTAGCGGCTTCAGAGACTGAAGAAGGTAGAAACTTTAAGAAATCCTTTGGTTAGTTGGAGTTATTTTTGTTCAGAAATATTGTGGTGTTCAAAATTTTCTACTGTCTATGATTTGTCAGCTCAAAAAAGTTAAACGTTAACTAGTTTTTCTGTTTTCAGCATTCAACACCGTTCCCACGTATTCTAAAACCTTCCCACTATCTGTGAGCCTTGATGGTTTTAATTTAACTAGAGTTTTTCAACATATCTATATTCCTAACACTGTTTAGCAGATAATGTCTTAAAAGAGGATTATTTTCCAAAAATCTGCTACCAGTCATATATTTGCAAGAGATTTATATAACGATACAAGGTGAAACATACGGAATAAATTAAGGTATGAGATTTGTAACAAGGAATTTAAAAAGGCAATGGATACCCTCATTTTATGTTATGTAATGTTTATGTTTGGCCCCGGTCACATGAGTGAGATAATCCGGGGGGGAAGTGAGGCTTTTTGCTCCGGAGCAAAATGAAGTGCGGTATCACAATCCGACGTTCCCCCGAGGCTCTGTGCTCAGGCCGTCAGCCGCCGATCACACGGTGATGGCAAAGCGTAGCAACAAAGCAGTGCCGCGTTTGTGCGAGTGCACGTTTCTGCGCATACCACGGAGGCTTACAAGAAAACATCTGGTGGGACGCAGACGGGCGTTGGATGCGACGGGATACCAGCGCTTCCGTGATCAGACGCCCGCCCGCACCCCACGTTTTTCTGATAATACTACACTTTCCCAGCTACTTTTAAACTCCACATCTTAGGCCGGATGCTACGGGTTGGAGATGGGCACGCGACGCTTGCCAGATGTTGCCGTATGATCGCGCCCTTTTAATCCGCTCGGCAGTCATGCCTCTCACGCGGCAAATTCTCTGTGTGACCGGGACCTTTGTTTGTAAAAATAAAAAACTTAAACTTGGGAAAAAATAAAACAAAAATCTGCTACCAGTTATTCCGCAATGGGAAGAGATTTTGCACTTGTCTGACTGCAGATACTACAGGAAATAAACACCAAAGTATTCTTGAAAATTAACAAATAGCCATTAGTCTCTTAGTAATCTCAGTAATAGCTCTGAAATCTCTTAGATTTGTGACTGCTCTCCTGCGTATGAAAATAATTAGAGATCTGGTTACCTTGAAAGAGAATATCAGGGCCTGAGTATAGTCTGTTTCCCCCAGTCTTTTAGAAACCCTGTTTGAGCTGGGTTAAGATTGTTTCCCTCAAATTTCTGTTAAAATATATAGCCATAATTTAAACAATAAAATGGGCCAAAAGGAACTAAAGAAGGATAAGTAATTTCCTTTCTTAAAGAATCAGTGTGCCATGATCTTCATTCCATAATTTTGGAACGGAATGGCTCTGCAGCCAGCTGTTTAACATTTTAAGTAACCAATCCATAAGGAGCTCTTCAAGTACTGTATATAGTATGCCGAATGGAAACCATTGGAACCCAGAGACTTCCTACTTTTCATTTCCCTAACCACATCTATTATTCCCTGAGCCATAATAAATTCTTTTAAACAAGCAACATTTTGTGACAGCATATTTTGTGACAGTGCTTTCAGCAGAAGTGCTAAATCCAAGGGGAAATAATTTTACATGGAAATAGTAAAACTAGGATCTTTTCTCCTCTTCTTTATAGATAATCTGCAAAATGGCCTCTATGGTGAACAAGTCGACAGTTGAATGCTTGCTTCTTCCCCGATTCTGTGAGCTCTGTGGCGATGGAAAACTTTTTCAAGTCCGTAAGGTTAGTTCATCATGACGGTCCCTGGGCCCCTCATCGGTGCTAACCCCACCCCCCGGAACTATGCATGTGCAGGCTAGCTGCAGAAGATGACGAAGAGTGTCCGAGTGCAAGGCTCCCTGCTTGCCTTCAGCACTTTTGTTTGCCTTCAGATCACATGAGGAAGTGAGTGACCACACCTCATTCCTCTGTTTTCTCTCTGCCATTGTAGAGAATTGAAACAGTGCAGAGACAGATTTGTGTTGTGTTCCATCCACACTGGAGCATACCTGCAATGAGCCAGTGTGGTGTAGTGCTTGTAATGTCAGAACAGAATCTGGGAGGCTTAGGTTCGGACAGCTTCAAGAGGGGATTGGATAAACATGTGGAGCAGAGGTCTATCAGTAGCTGTTAGCCACACAAGGTATAGGTGAAACACTATATCTGGGGCAGTGGTGCTCTGTATTCTTGGTGCTTGGGGGGGGGGGGCAACAGTGTGAGCACTGGAGCATACCTACAATGAGCCAGTGTGGTGTAGTGCTTGGTAATGTCAGAACAGAATCTGGGAGGCTCAGGTTCAGACAGCTTCAAGAGGGGATTGGATAAACATGTGGAGCAGAGGTCTATCAGTAGCTGTTAGCCACACAAGGTATAGGTGGAACACTATATCTGGGGCAGTGGTGCCCTGTATTCTTGGTGCTTGGGGGGCAACAGTGTGAGGGCTTCTGGTGTTCTGGTGCAGCTGGTGGACCTCCTGATGGCACCTTGGTTTGGGCCACTGTGTGACACAGAGTGTTGGACTGGATGGGCCATTTGGCCTGATCCAACATGGCTTCTCTTATGTTCCTATCCCCGCCCTGCCTTGAAAGCTTGCTGGGTGATCTTGGGTTGTTATGAGGATAAATGGAGGAGAGGAGAACAACATTAACTGGTTTGCATCCCCATTGGGGAAAATGGCTGGGTATAGATGAAGTAAATAAAATACCTGTTAAAATTATAATTTTAAGACTATCTTAACTATAAGATAGGTGTCCTGGAGCATAGGTTAGGGGTGTGCAATTTTTTATCTCTGTATTTTTCAGTTCAGGTCTATTGTACCTGAAAATTTTTCAGGATTCCCGGAAAAACCCAGATCCCAATACCAGTAAAGTATTCAAATCCGCGCCTCCCCCCCCCCCCCCGAAAACACACATATTTTGTATCTACCCTTTTCAGGTCCAATAGACCCAAACTGAAAAATATAGAGGAAAACAAGTAATTGCAAAGCTACCAAAAACAGCTGAGAGGCAGCTCAGCTTGGGGCTCTTTTGGATGGCCCCTTTAAACTGGACTGCCCAAAAGAGCTCACAAAGGAGCTGACCCTACGGGGAGAACTGTGGGCTGGGGCTCTACTGGGCAGCTTGGTTTAAACCAGTCTGCCCAACAGAGCCTGCCAGGGAGCCAATCCTGCAGGGAGAACTCCCCCCGTAACCTGGACTGGGGCTCTGCTGAGCAGCCCGGTTTAACCCAGACTGCCCAACAGAGCCCACCAAGCAGCCAATCCTGTGGGGAGAACTGTCCCTGCAGGCTGGCCTGGGGCTCTGCTGGGCAGCTCAAGTTTAAACTGGGCTGCCCAACAGAGCTTGCCAAGGAGCCGATCCTATAGGGAGAACTCTCTCCACAGGCTCCACTGGAGCTCTCTTTGGCAGTTCGGTCGAACAGCCCAAAAGAGCCCCGGGCGAGTCAATGGGGAGAGTGCCCCCCCCGGCTGTTTTGTGAGCTTTCTTCTGCAGTCATTTTAAACACACCCTGTTTAAAGGGACTGCAGAAGAAAGCCCAAAATCAGCTGAATAGCGGGAGCAATCTCCTCCAACTGTTGTTCGGGTTTGCCAGTAATTTGAGATTTGGGATTTTTTCTGGGATTTCCCCCCAGTTCTCCCTAAAAATCTTGGATACATTTGGGATGCTGAAATATACCCGAAAATTACAGATAAGGTGTTTTTCGGGTATATTTTTGGTTTGGGTAAACCTGAATGCACACCACTAGTGTAGGTGATAAGTGGCACTGGTTTTAGCTTAAAATTGTCCACAGTTTAATTAAAATTTATAATGAACTTGAGTGCTTTGCTGAATAACGGCTGTAGTGCTTGCTTCTTCCCCAATTCTGTGATCATCGGAAGCTAAGCAGGGTCGACTCTGGCAAGTACTTGGATGGGAGACCTCCTTCGAATGCCAGAAGGTGGGAGGTGGGGGCAGGCTTTATTCAGCCACCTCTCTGAATATCCTCCAGGCCCCCAGTAGGAGTCCGTCACCAGAGGAAGCCACGACTTCCATGTGCACACACACATGCACGTATGAAAAATACCGAAAAATATCAAGAGAGAGAGAGATATATGATCCTGGCTGCATTCCTATTCAGTCCTGTCTTATTTACGATACACTGAGCAGAAGTTGCTGTGCATTATAATATTACGATGGTAGCTCCTGCAGACTGTTATATGGTTTAATAAAAATTGTAGATAGGAAGTGCAGTATTTTTCCTCTGGCCATGTGAACAACCAGTCTTCTCCGTCTAATCAAGATGGGAGATGTGATGATGTCAGTAAGATAAAGCATGACGTAATTTGAAATTTTTAAAAGTCAATCCCCCCCCCCCCCTATTGCAGGTTTGTGCAGCAAATTTTGGTGATATCTGCAATGCTGTTGGGCAAGAGGCCACAGAGAAGAGCTTGGTAAGTTAAAAGTCTGAGGACCCCCCCCACCCCCAAATCTTAGAGTTAACATTTTTGCAGGGGACTGTATATTATGCAGAGGAGGAAAAGGGGTAATCAGGGAAGCATTTAGAAAACACATCATTCCTAGGTTATGTGCACAATGGTCATCTTCCTGAAGTAAATAGGGAGGACTTTTGTGACCAGGAGCTCCGTGTTTGCCTTGTAAGCTTCTGCCCCCCGCCATGGAGTTGTACACTTACTATTTCACTCTTCTGTCAGAACTAGAGTCGTATATCTGAACAATGTCTCTTCCACCACCTTTCGTTAAGGAATTGAATTATCTACTGATATCTAAAGAAATCTTGTATTTAAAAACTTCTTACACTTAGTATTTCACTCTTCTGTCAGAACTAGCGTCGTATATCTGAACAATGTCTCTTTCTTCCACCACCTTTGGTTAAGGAATTGAATCATCTACTGATAGCTAAAGAAATCTTGTATTTAAAAACTTCTTGCTTGAGTCTCACCCTTATTACTATAGAAATAAGTTCCCATGAGTGGCAAATGGAGAACTGCAGCTGGAGGACTGCTGTTATTTTAAAATGTAAGGGAATGTTTTCCCATGGTTGCCATGATACATTGCCATATATATATAGAGAGAGAGAGAGAGGGAGAGAGAGCGCTCCTCTGTATTACTCAAGAAAGGCAAGGAAAACAGCTGCAGACCTCAGCAAGGTATATTGAGGTTCCTCCTCCCATCACTTAAGTAATGAGATAAGCTTCAGCATTTATAACAGTGAAAATCAGATCCTTTGTTTGATCAGTTTGGAATCCATTGAATCACTCTGTGAGACCAGATATTCCTCTTAGCAAAGGAGTTCAGTGGGGGGGAAAGAAACCCTTGCAGTCCAGGTGAAAGCTATCACAGCATTCTAAGCGGGTTCCTTTGTTCAGGTTGCAGATTGCTGAAGAACTTGGGAAAAGAGAGACCCTGTGGTGTAGCAGTTAGAGTGTCAGGCTATGATTGGAGAGACATAATTTCAAATCCCCACTCTACTATGAATCTTGCTGGGTGACCTTGGGCCAGTTGTTTTCTGTCAGCATTACATGCCTCACAAGATTGTTGCATGGAGGGACTGAGGGAGAGGGGTGTAAACATATAGGGAGTGGGTTCAGCTGAGATCATGTGTCTAGCAGGCAGAAAGTCCCTGGCATCTCTGGTTAAAAAGACAAGGAGGTAGGTTAGGAAAGTCCCAGGTTCAAGCCCTGGCATCTCCAATTAAAGAATCTGGAACCTGGAGAGCTGCTGTTGGTCTCAATACTGACTTTGATGGATTGCAAGTCTGATTCAGTGTAAGATAGCTTCACATGTTCATGTAGGTGATGTGAAAAATCTCTATCCAGGATACCGGAATGCTGCTACCAATCAAAGCAGAGAAGACTGACCTTGATAGACCAATGATCTGACTCGGCGCAAGGCAGCTTTATGTGTTCACGTGCCCCAGGCTTCTTGGAGGAATGGCGGGGTCAATATAAAATGTAATAGTTTGACAGAAAGACAATAGGAGGCCGACAGAGAGAAAAGATTTGGAGCGGGGGGGGGAAATCTGTGGAAAGGGCAGGGAGACTTTCAAATACGTACAATTCAGCAAGTTGCAATCAGGGTTTCCTCTGTTTTGCCACAGTGTCAAAAGTTCACAAAATAGTTTGCAGCCGTGCTTAGAATGCAGGCAGGAATCCTGGCTCAGGAAGGGATTAAGCCAACATGGGAACAGTCTTCTGCCAACATAGCCTTCTGCATAGGCTTTGATCCCGGCAGATTCCAAAGGCATGAGCTTTTGTTCTTTTCCTCCGTCTGGAAGCTGGTATCTTAGTGAAGGAGAAAACTGCACTTACATGCATGCTTTGGCCAGGAGACACAGAAGTGAGTTACGCTGAGCCTCTTAAGAATGGAAGAGTTCAGTAATGTCTGCATTTGTTTGATAGTATCTGCCCTAGGCGCATACCGCCTCTCCTGGCCGTGTTTGTTCTTTAGCTTGCTAAGGTGGTGGCTGCAGTTGACAACTTTATTTTGGAAGGGTAATCCTTCATGTCAGCATCCTTCCTTAAGCCCTGCTGAAAGGGCACGAATATTTTGGAAGTAATCTGGCCCCTACTCTCACCTTCTCATCCGAGTCTGAAATAAATCAGATTGACAGACAGCTTGGGTGACATGACTATTTGCTTACAAGTGTGGCGTGCACCTAGTGTCTGCGGCCACAGCGTCACTGAGATCAACATGACATGTGGGGTGTATTTTAGATTTCTCTGCTAATGTCACTCGGACTCATTTGCCCTTCTTTCCTACCAAGTGCTAGTCTGCAGGAGGCTTCAGAAAGCTAGCTTTCACCCCAGTTGTTGGGTTATTTTTTAAAAGTAAAATAAATGCATTAAGGGCTGCAGTCGGAATCAGTAACAAAGAGGCTGTTTTAGAAGTGGATCTCCCAAAAACCCTAATAAGTGGTTTCTAGATGAAGTCAAGCCTGAACTCTCCCTAGAAGCTAAAATGACTAAACTTGAGGCATTCGTGCTTTGGTCACATTGTGAGAAGACAAGAGCCACTGGCAGGGCTATTTTTGGGCAGGAACGCACAGGAACGGAGTTCCGGCTGGCTCCCGAGTTGGCCACACCCAGCAGGAACTCATTAGCATAATAGGCCACACCCAACAGCAGAAACTCCTTCGGATTGGCTACATTAGAGGTGTGTGGCCTAACATGCAAAGGAGTTCCTGCTACAAAAAAAGGCCTGGGTTTTGACAACAAACAAGGTAAACAGAATAAGGAGCAAAAGGTGGGTGTGGCTGGATGACCACACTTCTGGTAACATGGGGGTGCGGCCTAATGTGCTAATGAGCTGTGCTGTCAGGGGTGTGGCCCAATATGCTAACGAGTTCCTGCTGTTGGGTGTGACCTATTATGCTAATGAGTTCCTGCTGGGCTTTTTCTACAAAACCCCCCTGGAAAAGACAATAACGCTAGGAAAAGTTGAAGGCCACAGGAAAAGAGGAAGACCCAACATGAGATGGATTGACTCTTATCAAGGAAGCCACGGCCCTCAGTTTGCAAACTGTGAGCAAGGCAATGGTAGGGCAGTTTTCGGAAGTGGGTTGACAGCACTTCACACACACACACACACACACACACACACACACACACACACACACACACACACAGAGAGTTTTAGAACTGATGTGCTGTTTCTTTATTTTGGCAGATTCCTAAATTTTTTGAGCTTTGCTCTGATAGCGTTTGGGGTATGAGGAAGGCCTGTGCTGAATGCTTTATGGCTGTCTCCTACACAACGTCACCTGAAATCCGGAGGAGCAAGCTGTCTCCCCTTTTTATCAGCCTCATCAGTGACCCTTGCAGATGGGTAAGTAGGAAGTGGATTAGTTCATTGTAAAGGACAGCTGCGCCGTGACAGTTCTTTGCTGACTTTTTTTGAGAAAAGAAGAACATGTTGTCAACTCTGAACAGGTAAAATGAGAACTATCAATGATAAGGTGGTTTAAAAATGTCACCGCATATCACCTACCCGGAATAGGAAATAATTATTGTGACAAAGGAAGCTTACGTAAAACAGTTGTCTTCAAATGATCATTGTGATCAGCTGTCAAACTAGATCTTAATCCATCTTTTGCCATGTGAAAATGCATAAGATCTTTTCACTCCAGTAGAGAAAAGAGCAGGGAAAGCATTTTAATTTTATTTCTTTATTCATGGCCACAGCTCTGATGGAGAACGGGCCACTCCTTAGTTCTACCAAGAGCGTTGTCAGCTCTTGAGGATCCTATGCTAAGTCTGGTGTAGTGGTTAAGTGCGTGGACTCTAATCTGGGAGAACCGGGTTTGATTCCCCACTCCTCTACTTGCACCTGCTGATGTGACCTTGGGTCAGTCACAAGCTCTGGCACAGCTGTCCTTGAAAAAGAGCAGATTGTGTCAGAGTTCTCTGAGACACCTTTGGGTAGTGAAGGGCGGGGTATAAATCCAATCTCTTCTCTTCTTCTTCTTCTTTTAATTTCACAAAATAAGTTTGACTTGAAAGTACTGTTCATATACTAAGGACTGAAGGATTTGTGCAAACACTGTTCTTTCTGTGGGCAGATGCATGTTTTACCTTCAGTTTATGAGCAGTTGAGTTGAACCATTCTTTCCTTGCAAGCAGTGTAGCTAGATTTATGGTGTAGTCAGCCGAAGTCTGTGACTGACTAACAAATTTTTGCCTTAGACCGAAGCTTAATAGCAGGGATGAATTCTAGCACCGTGGTCCAGTAATGGAAAACAGCTTTTAAAAGCTAGTTTCTCTGTGCAGCCAGTTTGGTGTAGTGGTTAAGTGCACGGACTCTAATCTGGGAGAACTGGGTTTGATTCCCCACTCCTCCACTTGCACCTGGCTGGATGACCTTGGGCAAGCCATAATTCTGGCACAGCTGTTCTTGAAAAAGAGCAGTTTCTGTCAAGAGCTCTCTCAGCCCCACCTACCTCACAGGGTGTCTGTTGTGGGGAGGGGAAGGGAAAGGAGTTTGTAAGCCGCTCTGAGACTCCTTTGGGTAGTGAAGGGTGGGGTATAAATCCAATCTCTTCTTTTTCTTCTTCATCTTCTGAACTGAGCTCTTGTTTGAAAAAAATAGCTATGCTGCTGGATCACTGTATTCAGCACCTTGTTTGCATATGTATATCCTCCTGGTGTATTGGGCCAGGGCACCCAGTGTCAAATAGATTGGCAGCTTTAAGTACATGTTGGCAGGCATAGAGGCACTGAGTTGAAGTGAACAGCAGCAGTGCCAGCCTTACTTCATGTGTCAGATATACATATATGGAAAACATTTTTCCAGGAAAGCAAAAATTATGCATGGGCTAGAGAGAGTTGGCAAAGAGAAATTTTTCTCCCTCTTTCAAAATACTAGAACTCGAGGGCATCCAATCAAGCTGATGGGCAGTAGGTTCAGGGCGGACTAAAGGCAATAGTTCTTTACGCAGAGAGTGATTGAAATGTGGGATTCACTGCCAGAGGATGTAGTGATGGCCACAGGAATAAACAGCCTTAAAAGGGGATTAGAGAGATCCATGGAGGATAGGTCTATCAGTGGCTACTAGCCCTGGTAACTGAGGGGAACCTCCACATTCAGAGGCACTAATCCTCTGGAGCTAGGAGGCAACGGCAGAGGAAGACCTCCGCCTCTATACCCTGTTGTTGGCTGTCCAGAGGAACTGGTTGGCCACTGTGTGAGAAAGGATGCTGGACTAGAGGTCTGATCCAGCAGGGCTCTTCTTATGTTCCTAACTGTAAGGTTTGTATAATACAAAATAATATGTTACCTCCATTGATGTGATGTTGAGATATGCTGTAAATCTACCTGATGTATGCTCAACATTGGTCCTCTGGTCCAACTTCACAAAACATTTTAAAACAGTGCTCGATTGTGCAATAAAATTATATATAGAATTGCTTTTGTTGCATAAATAATATTGTGTTTTTAATAACCTTTGCTCCTGGAAGTTTTTAGTTTCCTGGTTAGTATCCTATAAAAGGTACTAACAATTCCAAGTCAGAGCTGATTGCCTTTTGAAATATATTCAAATTAACAAAATGAACTTTGGCTTGTGAATACATAGCACACAGAATCCATTTGTCTTTTTTATTTTTTTCTAATATTCTAGGTTCGCCAAGCTGCTTTCCAATCCCTTGGGCCGTTTATTTCTACTTTTGCAAACCCTTCCAGTGCTGGTCTTTACATTCGGGAAGATGGGACTCTCAGCATCCGGCCTTCCAGCCCCCACCCAATAGGCAACATTACAAATGCCATGCCATGCAGGTACGGTGATTTGACCTTGGGGATAACCTGATCAAAATCAGTAGATCTGGATGCATGTCCTTCATTAGCACGTTGCAGAAATCAGCCCAATTCAGCCACAGGTCTGACTGCATTATATCCTAATTGTTCTATTTGTTTAATGTTTACCCCAGTGGTCTCCAGTAATTGATCTGTGTGAGAAGGACAACTCTGAAATAATAAGCTGAAGTCCAGGTGTTCATTTGTGGCTTGGCCCTCACAGGGGCAAGAATAGAAGTCCTTCCCTACTGTCGTGAAGGTGGGGGAAAAAGATAAGAGCGGAATCAGGAGACTCTGTTTCTGTTTGCTAGATTCAAGTCCAATAGCGCCTTAGAGACCAACAAGAGTTCTGGGGGTGTGACCTCCCGAGAGTCAGAGCTCTCAAAGTCATCAGAAAACTCACTCGAAAGCTCATACCTCAGAAATATTGCTGGTCTTTAAGGTGCTCCTGGACTCAAATCTAACTGTTCTGCTGCAGAGCAAAAGGGCTACGCTGTGAAACTGCTTTTATTTGAAGACGGAGTCGCCCGGATTCTGCAACTTGGAATTCAAAATCCATTCCCAGTCTCTACCCAGCTAGACACCTGGCAGAAAAAAATAATTAATGTATAAGGGCACTTAGTGTGAAACTGATTAATTTTATGATGTGTCCATGAGCAGGAATTGACTCCAAAAGAAAAAAAAGGACAACTATTGCAATTGAAATTTACCTAAGGTGTAATGTTTATAATGTCTAACCAAGAGCATTCATTGTGGAATTGCTCTTTTAACATTGTGACTAACAGGATTTCCTTATCAGTTCAGAGGAGCCCATGGAGAATAAATCAGAATCACTGACAGAAGGACCTTCTAATAGCTGCACATCTTGCTTTGAGAATTCAGCTGCACGACGAGAAAGCTCAGTTGCACATATTAATTCTGAGATAGATCTGACTCGACTGACTGAGAGTGACAATGTTGGCTGTTGTGTGGCCCAGGATACGAAAGACTGTCAGGTCAGCAATTGCAGGGGAATGAACTCCAGGGTCCAGTCTGCAGAAGACGTGTTTAATACTTTCTTATACTGGCGCCCTCCCCTTCCTGACATAAGTCAGGATCTGGAACTGCTTCAGTGCAAAACGGAGATGCACGAAGAAAGCTGCTCGGAAGCACTTTGTAACAACTGTGTTGCCAGCAGTGAAATTAAAAAGGTGCTGCAAAGTTTGCAGGAGCACATGGATGACCCTGACGTCCAAGGTTAGACCCTACTGTTTGCTTCGTTAAACCTGCCTAAAATATTTATGCATTTAAAACATCCACAACACTATTCTAACAATTCAAAGCAATAAACCAGTAAAATACACACAAAAAGAAAATCAACAGGTAAGAAGCTGAAAACCAAAATAGAACAATCAACAACACTAGTCACGGCCGGAAGTTGGAAGCCATGTCCAAGAGGGGGTAATGCTACACTTGGGCTGCCCCAAAACGACCAGTGTAGTGGGTTCTACAGTGCTTTTTTCTGGCTAAACGTTTAAAACTGTTAAAATATAGAAGCTGGATTGGGAGGCTCAGTCAGTTTTCAGATGAAAACAGGGGTTAGTCACTTAGTCTGCAAGGGAAGCCAGTTTCTTGTGAGAAGTATTCTTGTGTAAGGCCCTATGTAAGGTTGCAAGGAAATTTTTTAAAATAATGTTGCTTAAAAAATTAATACTCTGCATTTTTCCCCTCATAAGGGCCAACAAGGCGGCTAACAGCTTAAAAGCAAACATCATAAAATCACATCATAAAAACTATTTAAACCAACAAAACACATTATTAAAACAATTAAAACCAAACTAAAATACACATACAAAAACATAAAAAACTGTTAAAATCTTGGGTGGGAAGGAAGGGTCACTGAGGGAAACGAAAAACTCTTCACCCATTGGTGGAAAATATCAACGGAAGGGGACAATAGAGAGGAAATGAGAGTAGATGACGAGGGAAGAGAGAATAGGAGGGAGGGGGGAAGAGAGCAGCGCATACTCACGTACAAAGGGGAGCAGTACAAGTGTAAAAAACTGTATTTCTATATTGTGTATATCAAGTTTTTATGCAAAACAGTGTTTAGTAGTCTGAAATGTTCAACAACCCAACTATGACTATGAATCCAATTGCAACTGATAATAAGAAATTATATTACTGCTAGTAGCTGAGGCATAATTCCCGATGTAGGTCTCATATGCTTTGGATACTGTACCCTTGTATCTTTTCCTGGAACTCAAAACCTTTAAGAAGTATGGCTGAAAATCATTACATGAATGGTCAATGTTTCCTCGTTGTTAACTGTTTCATCGACATAAAAATAACTGTTTTGTGTTGTTAAATGAAAGTTTTCTTCAGATTTCTGTCATGCATGGTGCAGTACTAAATGGCATTACATCCTTGTAAAGACATTGACTTGAATAGTGTTCCCTCTAAGGTGAGTTAGTGTGAGTTCATTCACAGTTTTTTAGCCTCCGGCTCACACATTTTTGTTTTAGCTCAGGAAGGATGGCTCCAGAGCAAACTAATTTATGCAACAGCCAAATCACTCGCTCACAACTTGAACGCCAGTAGCTCACAAAGTAGAATTTTTGCTCACAAGACTCCACAGCTTAGAGGGAGCATTCTAAGCAGAGCAATCCTAAGCAAAGCTCTAGCCTCAGAAGGCCGTAGCTCTCCTTAGGAGAGCCCTGTTAAAGCTCTGATACCAGAAATATACATTTATTTGTTTCCCCCCCGTTCACTTTTACCTTTTGGTGAAATTTTTTAAACAGCATGATGGCACAGGAACCTGGAACAGAACTGAACTAGTAATCAGTCCCCTTATTTAACGCGGAATGTACATGAGGGAGAAAAATACTATGTTTCCATATTCCAGAGCAGTAAAATAACGTGTGAAGCCAAGTTTTAAAGCACACGATGTGAATCTTTTTTTAAAGGTCTTCTTCTTCTTTTTGCCATGTGAGTGTCTTTCTGAAATAGACTGTTAGGACTAGTAAAGGGAAGGCTGTATGGCAGAAGTAACTTCAGCGGACTTGTTCCCTCTAACCAGCTCAGGTCCAAGTACTGTCTGCGGCACTCAGAGCTGCTCATCTCGACTCCGTCAACGACTGTGAGGTCAAACAAGACGAAGAAGTTAATGGCAGCAGCCAGGAAGAGGCATCCCTTTTGGAGCCTGATCACAGCACAGGGGATGAAGGCTCCTTGTCTTCGTTGCCAACCCAGGGAGAGACAATTGACCCCTCCATTCCAACAATAATGAAAAATGTGGTGAGTCCCTGGAGTGGGCAAAAAAAAAAAGTGTGTTTTCAGGGCAGGCTGACACCTTTTGCTTGTCAATCATGTTGTACCTCTATAGAAGTCCATTTGTTTATTTTGACTTAACAGCCTGCCTCCATGAGAAATCAGGGCACTGAGCCGGCACTTAAAATAGAAGCCAAACGTAACTAATAAGTCTTATTCAATTATATCTAAACTTCGCCTTAACCCCGGCCACTGAAAGCCAGCCAGATACCAAGGTCTTGTTCCCAACAGATGATTGGGCTGGCAAATCCCCAAGAGACAGGACTTCATGGATTGGCCACTAACAGTGCAATCCTTAAGTCCATTGGCTCAGCATTTTTAGTTATGTGGTTTCTTATTTGCGTCATTTATCATCTGGCTTTTTTGTTGAGACTGGAGGTGGATTTTAGAATTACAAAACAGTGCAGGAAAGGCCAGTATAATAACTCCATAAGCAGAGCAATAAAACTGGGTATCACATTCAATGAAAAATGCAATGTAAGGGGGGGGGGCAGCTACCTAGATTTTTTCACAGTCTACTTGGCAGTGTTTCGAATGAAGAATCATTATACAGTAGGTACATAATTGCACACGAAAAGGCAGTTGAGACTATTCTAGTGAGAAACACATTAATAAGTAATCTATCTGTTTCAGAACATCGCATCTTTAAATTAATCCTCTGTATTAGAGAATTAAAGTCTGAGATTGAAATGAAGTCAGTAGTGTCAATGCTGAGGGAAGATAAAAATGTTTTTGCCGTGGCTTGAAATGATTAAACAAGACTAATAGGAATCCATTTAGGTTTTATTTTTCTTGAATAACAGATTTGCGATAGCCATAAAAAATTTGCTTTAATTTGTCAGGTATGGATGCTTGTATTGTATCTTTATATACCGTAGCTAAAATAACTTTGATTACTTTCATTAGCACAGTAGCCTGAATCCAGTTCTCAGAGAGATACTGATTGCTTGAGTTGTGTTGTATTTTAATGCGTTATTCCATCCCATCTACAGATAATCTTATCTGTTTCACCTTGCACATTTTTACAGGATGTAGAGCTACTTAATGGGACTGATAAAGCTTTAGAAATAGAAGATAACGATCTACCCTTTGAAGAAGATAAATCAAAATTACAGGTTGTTTCAAATATTTCTTAATAGAGCACAGTGAGGTTCTGTTCTAAGACCTGAAACTTTTTGTTTAATCCATTGTTTGGAAACCAGCCTTGCTTACTTGCTTCTGGCAGAATTTGATGTATAAAAATAGATTAAAAAAATAAATATACTGCTATGTATGGATAATGCCACGGGCCTTATCCAAGCCCACTTTCTATTTACACAAAATGAGAATGACTGTGAATGTGAGACAAAAAAAGTTATACACTAAAGTGATATTTAGTATTGCCCATACCTGTAATTTGCATATGGGTTTAAGATGACTCCTTAATTTTCTTAATGGTGCTCTGGGGGAGAAAATAATAATCTTCCTTTCAGGCATGCCCTGAATGAACACTGACACTCCAGTTTGGATTGAACCAGCTTTTCTGCTGGCTTGGACTACCAAAAAAGGTGGACCTTCTTATGGCACCTGGTATTTTTGGCCACTGTGTGACAGAGTGTTGGACTAGAGGGCCCAATGGCCTGATCCAACATTGGCTTCTCTTATGTTCTTATATTCACGCTGAGGACAGTAGAACCTGCATGCAAAAAAAACATATGGGACAGTGGGGGGGGGTGTTTGGGCAAGAATGAGTTGCTGGATCTAACTCTTCCCTTTTGCTGCTCTCTGTTTGAGGGTAAAAAGCAATGCACAGCCTACCCAAACAATTTGAGTGTATCTTGGCCATATAAGGTATGAAGACAAACATGGTATTTGTCTTGGTCAGGTGTTACTTCCTTTATGCCTGGGAAGAGAAATTCTGACTCACATTCATAGCATCTGCAGAATACGACATCTGACAGCAGCCTAAGCTAGATTTTGTTCTGGACATAATTGTGCAAATTAAAACGTACGCTCAGAACCAAACTTTGAGTTACCTGTGTGTATGTTCATACTGTACAATTTAATAATTCATGTGACTTATTATTCCTGATACTCCTTGGTAATTCCTGATCAGCCAGACCTTTCCTTTTGTCTGATTAATCAATTGAGTGCTGTGACAATAAAGTGGCTGTCTCACAAGACGAAGCTGACTGAGTTTGCCGTGGGGTTACCATCCCATACTGGCTGGTTTCCAGTGTGCATTTGCCATCTGGAGGGGAGATCGAATGCCCTGACAGATGCCTTTCATTGCTGATAACATTCTTTGTCATGTTTAATTTATTATTATCAATAATTTACTGGTTGGTTGGGGTTTTTTGGTCTTCAGGATATCATACCTCAGCCTTTACTGGACCAGTACTTATCGATGACGGACCCTGCTCGAGCACAGACGGTTGATACCGAAATAGCAAAACACTGTGCATACAGTCTTCCTGGTGTGGCCTTAACATTGGGGAGACAGAACTGGCATTGCTTGAAAGACACCTATGAAACCTTGGCATCAGATGTACAGGTAAAAATACATAGCAGTCCAGGACCACTTTGGCCCCTATAATGGAAAGTGTTGTCAAGTCACAGGTGACTTTTGGTAACCTTGTAGGGCAGGGGTCCCCGACCTTTTTGAACCTGTGGGGCACCTTTGGAATTCTGACACAGGGCGGTGGGCACAACCATCAGATGGCTTCTGCAGGAGGCAGATCCAGCCACACAGAGGAAGTCTAAGTGCAGGGGAGAAAAGGAATGGTTTTAAATTTATTATTATTTCGGCTTATATGACCAAAGGTCTCAAGCACATACATAAAATACAGTTTGTGTATAAGCATCAAGGCAAAGTTAATAACAGTGAACGTTTCTGAATTGGTAAGATATAATTAATATAAAACATTCTGAGTGCATTATTTAAAATAGTTCAGATAAATAAATATAAGCTTTTCAATGGTATCCGTTATTTACGCTTCATTGCTATTACAGTTGCTAACTATCTTGCTACTGAGGTAGTAATTGCCAGGTTAATATCTCTCAGCAAATAAGAAACCACCCACGACTCAAGTGGAAGATGGTATTTTGTTAAAATAGGTAATACCCAATAAGACCTAGAACAAAACAAAAGGTGTGTCAACATCTCAATCTCACCAGATGCGCAGGTGCAAACTCTGTCTGAATAGGGAATGTGTGCAAAACGACCCATTAACTCTGCAGACGGTACAACATTTAGCCTAGCAAGAGTAAAAGCAATTCTATGGGAAGGGGGAAGTAAGATGGCTTAAATATAATGGAAGAGTCGGTGAAGGGGGAGTTCCCAATGCTAGTGGAGAGCATACACACCTTGCACGTGTGGCAGTACTCGTCCTATCCCAGTTACCTGCCCTCAATTTAATCTGGGTCCATGATTCTTGCTGGGATAAATTTTCCAGCGTTGTTAATGGGATACCAAGGAGATCCCGTTTCTTGTCTATTTGCTTAAACCAGGTATTTCTAAAGTTATCCTCCTTCAATTTATATATTAAGTTTGCCGATGATGAAGCAGAAAGCAGACCTTCAATCTTAGTCTAAAAGCAGCCAACCATGCTTTAAGTTCTAGGGAGCTTTGGCCACGCATTTAGGAACGCCCATGATTTGTCTTAGAAATTGTATCAATATATTATCTAAAGATTCTGAAGCTGCACTAATCCAAATGGGGGCACCATATCAAATTTGGGGTATTATTTTTGCATTAAAGGCAATACTCTGGGAAAAGGAGTGAGACGGGATAAAACCAACACGGTGGTTGCCACCAGAATAATGTTAATCTAATCTTCCCAGTCAGTTGGCTCTCCAGTGGGAAGTCGGAAGCTCTGCTGGGCAGGGCAAGTGCCCCACCCCCTTTCTACAAAACAGTTGGTGGGCACCAAGAAAGATATTGGCGGGCACCGTGGCTCCCATGGGCACCATGTTGGGGAACCCCTACTGTAGGGTTCTCAAGGCAAAAGAAGAGCAGGGGGTGACTTGCCATTGCCCGCCTGTGTGAACAACCCCAGAATTCCTCGGTGGTTTCCCGTCCAAGTATTAACCAGGGCTGACCCTGCTTCATTTCTGAGATGGGATGAGATTGGTTGATAGACACGCATATAAGATGTGAGAGGGATGTCGCACAGACATCTGCTCTTGTCTAACAGCACTCCCAAATGGTGGGTGGGACAGATGGCACCACTGGTCCCTGTTAGGGAGGCTAACTGGGGACTGAGGTGCTTTGAGAAGCCGACGTCTTGCAGTTCCCTACTGTATACCTGCATTCCCTATTGGCCCATATCCCAAAAGGGAATTGCTACTGTCCCTCAAAGTAGTAGTAGGGGCGTTCTTCCCCATCGTACGCAGAGAGTAAATCTGCTCGTCCTGGATGCTTTTCGGGCCAAGGAAAAAGGAGCTATTTGAGCTGGTTGGCTCGAGTTTGTTTATAGGAGGGCGGGGATGGAAAAGAGACCTCTGTGTTGTCTGAGCGTTTTTCTTTTTGAACCACTGTTCTGTGTTAAGTGCTGCATTGGGATGCCAATTGTAAATTCTTTTAACCTCCTCGTATTATTTTAAATTTTTGTTGACTGTAGTGGAAGGTGCGTCGGACGCTGGCTTTCTCCATTCATGAGCTGGCTGTTATTCTGGGAGATCAGCTAACGGCGGCAGATCTGGTGCCAATTTTCAATGGCTTCTTAAAAGATCTGGATGAAGTGCGCATTGGAGTCCTTAAACACCTCTATGACTTCCTTAAGGTAGAAGCAACTAGAATTATTCGCACTTTCCCCATTTTAGCATCTCAGAGTCATGGTCCTGATCAAGAGAACTTTGTGGAAAAGTCAGTTTTGTGCAGAGGGGCTTTTTAAACACCCACCTGCGTCCCATTTTTTAAAAGCAGTATCCTGCAGGTTTTGATGACCCCCGACTCAGCTTGTAACTTCAGCAGCAGATAACAGCTGCGGACCTGTTTGACAACAGTACAGTCTCTCTGCTTCATGGCCTATGAGCCAGTCCAAATGCACACAGCATCATTGTGCATGTGCTATAGAAATCCCTGATGGTGGCTATGCTGGTATTTGGGCAGTATGCATGTATTGGGCCTTAAAAAAAAAAAAAAAAACCCTGTTAATCTGGTGGTGTGTGGAGGTGAGTGTGAGAGTTTTTTACAGCCTGCATGTGGGCAACATCTGTTTTAGTTAATTAAAACATTGCACAGTTAAGTTGAAATTACATAATAACTGGCCAAGACTGAACAAGGTGCCTCTTAAAAACATTTAACATTGGAGAGGTAGCAAATGCAATAAATGGGGATTTTTTTATACTTCCATTGTTGGAGGTGATGTGCAGAAAACTAAAAACATTTAACATTGGAGAGGTAGCAAATGCAATAAATGGGTTTGGTTTTTTTATACTTCCATTGTTGGAGGTGATGTGCAGAAAACGTTCTATTGCTCTGAAAAAGCCAAAGCTGTTTTTTAGAGTATGTAAATGTGCGCTAGGACACTGAAGACTTTGGACTTGATTCCTCATAGGTTATTTCCATTGTTGGGCACCTTCTTGTTTTATAGTTGCTTCACGCAGACAAAAGGCGCGAGTACCTTTATCAGCTTCAAGAGTTTGTGGTTACTGATAACAGTAGGAACTGGCGGTTTCGCTATGAACTTGCAGAGTGAGTAAAATTTCTTCTTCAGTCTTTGCATGCGTTTGTGCTCTTGTTAGTGGTATGAAATTGTTTCTGAACCATGGCATGCATTGCTCTTGCTAACCTTTTGAGAAGAGGTTAATCATTGCTTGTCATACCCAAATCATCTGCAGACTTTTGTCTGTAATGCATACAGACAACCTACTCTCCTCCACCTTCAAATAAGCTTTATAACGGGTGTGAAGCCAGGCAGAATTCCATTCTGGGTATGGAACCGAACAGCCCAGTTAACACAAATTCAGGGCCTGTTTCCGCTGGAGGTGGACAATCAAATGTAATCTTTCTAAGGAGCAAATTTGTCTGATATGATAACTCTGACATCTAGTGGGAGACTTATGTCATTTCAGTTCTTCTCTGTGATCAATGCCACTCCTCTACTAATGTTTTCTTCTTATGCTTTTATTTTGGAAAATTTCTGTGCTGCCTCTCCAGGGAACCTGCTGATGGGACTGTGCAAAATAAAACAGGATCAAACGTCACAAAAACATTAACACTAGTGAAAAGCCATTAAAAAACAGCGTACGACATTGTGCATCCCAAAAAGTGTCTTTTAAGGCAGTTCTCAGGCCAGAAGCAGGCTATAAAACTCTTGTTTAAAAGATCGGCTCTTTAACTAAAGACCTGGCTAATGTTTTGGCCTGGCTCCTAAAAGGCAGTGGAGTAGGCACCAGGCAAGCCTCAAGGGACTAATGTCTTCTGTGTGGATTCAAAAGCATAACGTGTCTTGGGACATGGCTGTTGGAACAGCTTGCACTTTCATCCTCAAGACTTTGATTTAACAGAACGTGTCACTCATGTTGGTACTGAACGATCGTTCATATTTAAAGCGTCAACGAATGCGGTTAAGGTTTTCATTTTCCTCTTGGGTGTTGCATCTGTATGTACTGCTGGTGTAGCACAGTGCCCTGTTGCATAGCTAAAGGTGTAAGCTGAGAAATCCCAGGTCTGTTCAGATCTTTCTTCAGACATGCCCCCCCTCCCAAATTGGGTAATAACACCTCTTAAATTCTGTAAATAGGGAAAAAAGCCTCTCTGGATCAGTTCACATTTACCTAAATTAGCACACCCTGATCAGGTAGCAGAATTTGTCCGGATGATGTTAGTTCATTTCATTTTTTGCTCTTTGCCTATTTTAAAAAATGGCATTTGACATTCAACATGTGTTTATGAGTTGAAGTGCTGTATCTGTTCAGAGTAACTGGCCAGGTGGTGAAGCCAGTCTCACTTCCCCCTCCCCCAGTACTGTATGTGGGGAAACCAGGAAAGGGAAGGTTGGCTTTGCTGTGTGGCCAATCCCTGCAGGCGATCGTCTCCTCTTATGGGTGCATTTAGTGTGTGGTAAGCTTATAAGCAGTTGCCGTGCAGTACTGGGCATCTGACAGAAGAATAGCATCAGAGGAGGGAAGACTGGAAAAGAATGTGAGATGTTTTGACTGATTAAAATACTATTCCTTGATTACTGTAATCTGTGTTGAACTTTAGTTTCCAAGCTTTCCTCTCTGGAATCACTGGGAAATCATCTGTATGCATATAGGTCCTTTGCAGTTTTCTTTACTAGAGCTGAATGTTTAATAAAATATAAAGTAAAGCTGCGTTTTATTATTTAAGTCTAGTTTAATTTCGCATGGGGGGGGGAATCCAATAAACCCCCTCCCCCCAAGTCTACGTTAGCACAGAAATCCTGTTCCTTCCTCCAGTGGACAACTTTTTCCCTGCCCTCATTCAGGCCTTCTCTCCCACACTAAAGCTACTAACTAACTCCCAAGCAGCC